GAGAAGGTGATGCTTGTGGCTGTCCAGATGGTGGATTGAGAAAAGAGACTGGAGAGAGGGGAAAAGAAGGGACGTGAGTTACCAAGCAGGGTATATATAGCAGGTGTCTATCGCCAGCCCTGGAATGGCGCCCATCCCTTCTCCTCACCAAACAGAACTTACTTTTGTGGCTCCACTAAAGGCCAACTATCAAACTTCCATTCAAGGTTAAATACCGAACTCGAGTAAAGAAGCTGAGGAGAAGTAACCCCCCTATAAATGTTGATTGCATAGAAACATTTCTAGAAGGTTCTGTATTTGCTGCTGCTCACTTTAAGAGGGCCTGGGGATGCAGTTTTCCTGCTGTCCACCGAGAGGGCCCCAAACCAGGAAGCGTCCGGCCAGCCTCCATCACAGCCTCATAGAATGAGGAAGGAAACCATTGCTTTGGATTCTGCTGTTAGCTCTATAAGAAGGCATGGATGTGGGCAAAGCGCGGTTAGTCAGTTAGTAGGATAGACCTATTCCAGTTTTTTCTGAGCCCACCCGGGCCAGGATGTACATGTATTTGTGAGTTACAGAGCTCACAGTCAAGTCGGTGATCTTGTAACTCATGACATCATTTGTGTTGCTTTGAATTCAACCCACATTTTGTTGTGCGACGGACATTGCTCAAAGCCATATTTTCCCTCCAGAATTGAATGACCTACCACCTTGGTGAATGGGCCCACCTTCCACGGAAAGAGGCGGAATTCCTTTCCCACCTTGGTTTCATCCCAGTTGTCAGGTGTCCTTGCTTCTCAAGGCGGCTGCTATTCACGGCCGCTTTGCCTGTCTCCTGAACTTCAGGTTTTGTTTCTTAAAATATATATTTTTATTGATTTCAGAGAGGTGGGGGAGAGAGCTAGAAACATGAGTGATGAGAGAAATCATTGATGGGCTGCCTCCTGCACCTCCTGGTTCATGTGCCCTGACCTCCTGGTTCATAGGTTAACACTCAACCACTGGGCTGCACTAGCCAGGCTAGACTTCAATTTTGTCTCCTGTTTATGGAAGGTGCGCACAACCCTCCGTAAAAGATTCTATATTTTGCCCCTGGCTTATTTGTAGAAGAGTTTCATTTAGGTCAGTCTCAGAGTAGGACACACAATTTTGCCATTAGGATGAGACATTTTTAGCTTTTATAGTACTGGTCTCAACAAAAAGGTTGGCACTATTTCTGTGGTTGATGGGTGTTTTCTGTTTACAGATATATTTTCATGGGTGTCTTCAGCTCCTACACCTCCATTCAAACAGCAATTATTTATGTTTGTGATACTTTAATCACTGTTTATTTCTTCCTTCCCATATTTCAGAATTTCTTACTTTCAACAACAAACCATCATGGATTCCTACTGATATAATAAAGCCTGTGTTTCACACAGAAAGAACCTTTAGTTTGTTCTGTGAGAGCTTTATGGGTTAATGTGTGCTTTTTATTCAACATCATGGGGGGATAACTGCCCTCATTTCTACCTTCTTAGAGTCCTAGTTTTCTATGATACATCCATTAGACATAATGTAAAATAAGTCTGAGGAAAATTAGCTTGTTTTTATTTTTAACTAATATTTTATTTTAAAATTGATTTTTCCTTTGTTTTTTCTTTAAAAAAACATTTTTATTGATTTCAGAGAGGAAGGGAGAGGGAGAAAGAGATAGAAATATCAATGATGAGAGAGAATCATTGATTGGCTGCCTCCTGCACGTCTCCTACTGGGGTTAAGCCCTTGACTAGAATCAAATCTGGGCCCCTTCAGTTAGCAGGCTGACACTCTGTCCACTGAGCTAAACCAGCGAGGGCTGTTTTTTCCTTTTCATTGAATGTATTGGTTAACAAAATTATACAGGATTCGGGTGCACAGTTCCACAGCACATCATCTGTACACTGTTCACCATCCCAAGTCAGGTCTTCCATTACCATTATCCCCCTTTACCTTCTTCCACCTCCCCTCCCCCCACATTCCCCATCCCAGCAACGAAAGAGTTTCAAATCATCCACATGACCAGTTGCCCCTGCCTTAGTATGACAACAGAACACATCCCGTGAACTGAGAATCCCAAATCGAGCAGTTGGATCAGGTTTCTTCAGCCAAGCAGATGTCCCCGGAGCTAAACACATCTCTTATAAAACAAGCCACACCATAACCAACAGTGCCAAGGACGAGAACCTTATCTTCCCCAGTGTTACTGTGTGATATCTTGCATTCACGCAGCTATGATAATATTTTCCTTTTTTTGAAAATGAAGAGGTGTCTTCAATGTTTGTTTTGACCAATCTGTCCAAAAATTGGATGGCGCCTTAGCATGGCTTCTTGTCAAGACAAAGACCAGAACATTCATTTTATGACCAGTGTGGGTGTGCTGGACTCCTCACGCCCCACAGCCCCACAGCAGGGCCTGGAGGATGTCATGTGACAGGAGTACTAGAAACAGGACCAGACGCTCTCGTGTTTATATGGACTCAGATCACCTCCAGTCGACATTGAAAGTAACTCCATAGTGGGCTAAGGCGTTCGAAGGCCTTTATGGCGGAGTGATTCCTCCTGGGTCTTGAACAATTGGGTTTTGGAACCTGGAAGGAGGCAGGAAAAGGAATTTTGGGTAGAGATTAACCAAAATCAAGACTAAGGGCTGTAAGAAAAGGCAACGAATCCAGTGTGATGTCAAGGGAAGGATACCCAGAGGGGAGTAATGGGAGCTATACCCTGAAGGTGGCGCTGGGAGTGTTCTGAGGTCCAGGAGAGATTTGTATGTAATGAAAAGGACATGTTCAGGTCTGTGTTTGAGAAGGTGATGCTTGTGGCTGTCCAGAGGGTGGATTGAGAGAAGAGATTGGACAGAGGGGAAAAGAAGGAAAATGAGTTACAAAGTATTGACATTCTCTATTAGGGTAGGGGTAACAGAAAAAAAAAAAAAAAAGCAAATGATATGCCAACTGCACCCAATGATTGTAGAAGGAGAGTTTGGTGATGGAATGAATGGGGAGAGAAATATCCAATGATGATGATGATGATGATAAAGAAGAGGAAGAGGAAGAAGAAGAGGAAGCAGAGGAGGAGCAGGAGGGGACTGGACTCCCTAAGTCCCTGTTATTAGATGACCTGCTAAGCCATAGGATAAAGCCTAAGGCAGCGCTAATTGGGATGCTGCCCCATGGCAACTTAAGAATAATCCTTTTGAAATCTGATCTGCACATTGCCCCATATCTTCCCTGCGTGCCAGTGACTGGACATACCTGTACTGAGGGCATCCATGGTATTTCAGTGTGGGTGGCTGGTTATTCCTTTATAGTTCTCCAGGCTATGCTGGATTCTGCATCATCTTGATTTTTTTTTTCCTGCTCTCTGTAGGTGATCTCTCCAGAATGGTCTTATTGTTCTACTTAGGTGGCACTTAGGCCTTCTGCAGACTTGTGAGTGACTTGGGAAATGACTTTTGATCAGTAGGGGGCAGAGTCGCCTCAGGGAAGGAGCATGGATTTGACCCAATCCCTTGGAGATTCTGACTCAAGTCAGCCTGAGAGAGGGGCCCTGAAACAGGTGCTTTGTGTTGTTAACATTCTAGGTAATTCTGAGGGTTAGCTAACTTTGTGGAAAATAGTGATTTGATCTTCCTGAATGTCGGCTTTCACAGGATTGCTATGAGCATTAAATGAGAAAATGCATCTGGGTTTTATAAACCTTCAACCACCGTAAAATATCAGTTGTTACTTCTTTTTCTACTTTTAAATCTTTATTGTTGAAAGTATTACATATGTCCCCTTCCAACCTGCCCCACTTTCCATCCCAGGCAGTTGTTACTTTTTGAAATAACTTTTTTGTTCCTTTTTAAAAGATTTTTTCAGAAGCTCATCAGTTTGAAGATTGGCTACATGAAAGCATATTATATTTGTTTGATTGTATTCATTCTCATAACCAAGACAAAACTAGTAAATTCTGTCTAATACATGTGCACAATACATAAAATATAGGATTAATTATATGATAGTTTTATTTAAAACATTTTAAAGAACTAATGTTGAATTGCAACTTTAAAATAGCCATGCACATATAAAAATATGTTAACAGCTTGTGCCCTCAATAGTTTAATATGCCCAAAATTCTTACTTTTCCTGGCTGCATACTAAGTAAACATTTTAGGTTATACAAAGGTGAACAGATCCAATGAAATGTATCAAATTCCTAATTGTGATTGTATATATTTTCAGAAAAAAAAAAACCCAAATTCACTGGATGATAATTTTAGATGTTGAAGAAATGATAGAAAGCAGAAGACCCTGGTTTAATTTTTTTTGTTGTTGTTAGATCTGAGGAATAAATGCCAGTTAAAAAATACTCAGGAAAATTTAAAAAAGGAACCACTTGTATGTATTTTAATACAAAACACATTTATTATGGACACTTGATAATTTAATTGACAAATATTATCCCGACTTCCCAGTTTTAAGAGCAATAGCTTAAATTAAATACATAATTTTTTTCATCTCTTTCAAGCCCAAAGCAATCGAACAACAAGACAACACCAACACCACTTTGTGTCAGCAGTGATCTCAAAACACATACTTTCCCAACAGTCACCTAAATGAAAGAGATTTCAGCAGCTCAAGATAGTCTCTATAGAATAATAGGCAGCATAGAAGTCCATTGACCTTGAAGCTTATAGCATGTCTTAATCTGTTTCAGCCTTTGTTCACAGTTTCTGTGTAACTGGAATTACCCAGCCTGGTCAGTTCTGAGGAGTTTGCTAGTCCGTTAAATCACTCTATTTTATGACAGTACCAAAGTGCCTCTTTCCTTCCACCATCTCTCATTTTCCACCCGGGCCTGGATAGCGTCCACGTTAATCCATTGCGAGTGCTTTCCTCTTTCCCCGGGCCTGTTCAGTCACCCCCAAAGGCCACGTTGCTCACCCAGGGAGCCATGCGGGAGCATTCCTTCTGGGTATTTGATACCATCCGTAATTCCCTCCAGAGGGGAAACGGTCACTTTAGACTGTTCGCTTGCAGGTCATTGAGGAGATTTAGGTATATGTTGGACTTGAGGAACCTGGGGTACGAGTCCTTCTCCATGAGGGTGTACACGATCTTCTGGGCTTCGTCAAAACAGGCGGGGGTCGGGGCTTTGACCTTCTTGGCCGTAGATTCTCGAGTGTGAAAGTCAATGTTGATCTACAAAGGAAAGCTCTCATTAGTGAACGCGCCCTTCCAATGTGTTGCCTATTTTATGACATTACTGTGTGGGTTTTTTGGGAAGCACCTCGAGAGAGAGGCTTTCAGCTCTCATTTAAATCAGTTCGAGTATCTCCCCAATGCCTGTTCTAGACCAGACTCCTCCTAGGTGTGGAGGAATTAAAGAAATATCACCAAAAAGCCTTTGCTCCACAATAGCTCATTGTATAGTTGGGTGATGCAGAAAAGGCAGATGTGAAACATTTAAATGTCCCTCAAAAAGGTGACACGGACATTTAAAATTTATAGGAGGAGCCGAAACCAGTTTGGCTCAGTGGATAGAGCATCGGCCTGTAGACTGAAAGGTTCCAGGTTTGATTCCGGTCAATGGCATGTACCTTGGTTGCGGGCACATCCCCAGTAGGGGGTGTGCAAGAGGCAGCTGATCGATGATTCTCTCTCATCGATGTTTCTAACTCTCTATCCCTCTCCCTTCCTCTCTATAAAAAATCAATAAAATATATTTTTAAAAAATTTATAGGAGGAGAGGGCACTTCATGCAGCTGTGTTTTTTTTTTTTGCTTGTACCAAACATACTTAACTGGAAGATGGACACCACTGACTGGAAGTATGTTTGCCACTGCATCGAATATGTGTCTATATTATATCAATCTGTGTTTTATCTCCATCCAAGATAAGCTAGCTTATTAAGAACTTCCTGGCATGCAGCTCTGGCCAGTACCCAGCACTCCCTGCCAGGACCGAATCATGCTAGCTAGTTTTGCAAAATGAGTCTTTTACCCAATCTTTCCATAGATACAGAAAGTTAGATGATCCAATCTTTCCATAGATACAGAAAGTTAGATGATCCAATCTTTCCATAGATACAGAAAGTTAGATGATCATGGCACTGAGCTATGCGAACACGCCTACATATATAGCTGTGAAATCAGCACTGCAAAAGGACTTCATCTTGCTATGTGTGCTGAAGGGTATTTCTGCACCTAAGTTCCTTCACACGTAAGCGGATGATAATGAACTTGATACTCACTTGTTTAGCAGCGTCTGAATGCACGAAGGCTTTGTATATATTCTCTGCCTTGCAATGCAGGAGATCAGACTCCGTTCTTTTATAGTCTTCGCAAGCCAACCAGAACTCAATGTTCTCCTCACTGAACTCAGATTTCAGGAAACTTCTGAAGACATCTTGACCAGCTAAAAAGAAAGAGACAGAGGGGTGAGAGACTCACATTAATTGAGCCTATGAAGGAATACCTTGAAGAAGAGATTTGCTAGAAAACGCTATTTGATGGCTGTTGCCAAATTAGCTGGGTCATGGTTTGTAGCGATGGAAAGGCCTTTACTTCCCTTCATTTATAGTTTCTCTGGGGCCAGATACACCCGTTCCGGGCCACAGGGCTGCTTAGCAGTGGCTCTGAAACTGTTTGATTGGCTCCCATCTGCTAATCAAATGAAAATTCTGTCTGCCAGAGGCGACAAGGCAACCCCTTTTCTTATGCAGAGTATCTTAGGGAAGCAAACATTGACAAAGGATATCAACATCGTGTTTATTATTAACAAGTGTAATTTCCCTGTCCGATTCATGTTAGTCAGAAAACGTGAGGACTATATGTTCCCTGTGTGTGATGCACCGATTGTATTTGCAAGTGTTCCTCAGACTTTCAAATGGGCCATTTCAGTCTTAATCTCTAGCTGGAATTTGGGGAAAATGGACAGACTACTTGTCCAACGATAGCTGAATCGGAAACGAAGTCAGGTGATAAGATGGATGAATCTGGTTGAGCTATGTCAGTGCAAATCTCCTCAAGGTGTTGGTGGGGAGAAGAGGATGTGCTCACACGCTAGACAGACAAACTTCCCATGGACCCCTCTCTCCCAGGTCCTACTCCCATAGGACTGCAGTGGCCATGATAAGAACAAGGCAAACTCATTGCCTCCTCCTTCACCTCCTCTCATCAGAAATGCCTCACAAAGCTGTTTAAAAATCATCCTTTATTGTTTCCGTATTGTACCATGTGTCATATCACATATCACGTGTCTTTGATTTTGAATCCTTGGCACCCCTGAAACGCTTGCCACAGGCAAATGGGCTGAAGGAGTGAGCTCGTGAATGTGTGAATGATGAAATAGTAACGGACTGAGGGACTGCTGCTGATAAAAATACATGCTCTCGGTAGCTTTCAGAACAGCCGTCCACACGTTGAGAGGTTTGGCTGACTCTTAGAAGTGCTGAACCTCAGGACCCCAGCACCATTTAAAAATCACTCCTCTAATGACACATCCTTGGAAACATGGGATGGGCTTGGCTGATTGGTCAGTGGCAGAAGTGAGGGCTAAGCGTTCCTTACAAGGACAAGGTGTGGAAGCTACGTGTGACTACACAGAAGCTGGATACAGCTCTCCACTCGCCCTCCTGTCTGAGACCCTGTATCTGACTGACGCCCTTTAACCTGGTAGCCTGTTGGGCCCAACCCACACATGTTCGGTAGCTCCTCTCCTTACCTCGGGTAGCAAGAAGTTTCTCCAGGGACTGAGACCACTGCAGCACTTCATCAGCACACAGCCTGCGGGGGACAAGGTTGGCATGCGTCAGTAAATGTGTCTTTCATAGTCAAGAGCGCCTGGTGCCTTTTCATAACTTCACAGACTGAAACTCTAGTCCCGATACATCTTACTAAAATGTGTAAGAAAACGAAATTCCCCCTAGAATTACTCTTGAAATGAAGCTTCTTATGGCATTGCTACATAAAAATATCTGCCAACAGAATATGAAAAACATCCAAGTATGTATCTTCCAAGAGTACGATAGATAGCAAATATATGCATGCACATGTTGGCGTTTCATTCCTGTGAGAATAACGTGCTCATCTTAGGATTGTTACTTAAAATGAGTGAAGTGCATTAAGCACAGTCTTAATCTCTTGTTGGAATTTGGGGCGAATGCACAGACCACTTGTCCAATGATAGCTGAGTGGATTTGTGTACTTACATGTCCTTGGACCTGGACGGTTTCATCCCAGACTCCAGATGTGGGATCATAGATCTCAGGTACGCCTTCACGTCCATCCCGCTGCAAACGACACAAGAGTGAGTGTCCATCCCTCCTCCATAGGATGCATCTCATTGATAAAACGAGAACAGCCTGAAATGGACTCCTCCCATGACTAAGGCGATCGTGTTGTTAGATTAAGATGGAGCCGATGTAAATCCAGAAAAAAATCCCCACCCAATGTGATGCCCGCTCATGATTCCCTTTTTGAATCTACTGAGACCACCCAACGGGTCATTGCTCTGCTCCGGCTCACTCCTCCTGCCATTGAAGAGGATCTTAGTCCAAAGGGCCCAGGCCAGACAGTGAAGGGGACTTACAAGGTCCTGGGTCTCCTCTTCTGTGTCTTGTCGTCCAGAAGCGAATGATCTGTGCCTTTTGGAGGAGCCGAGAAGAACATCCCTGGCATGTTGTGCAACCTGGGCGTGGGGATGGCTGCTCCTCGCATGGTCCTCTCGGGGCGACTGTCTGCTCGCCCGCATCCCCGCTGCCTTATATAGCGAAGGCGGGGGAGTGGGGGGGGCAGAGGGGGTGAGGGGCGGGACTGGGGGGGCCCTCGTGCTACTCACCCTGTCTGTTTATCAGGCGGCGTTACCACAGACACTGGAAGTTCCTCCTTTCTCGCCGGGCTGTGACGTGGATCTTGAAGAAAAAAAAAGACTACAGTGATGTGTTGTGGTTGAAACTTAACCAAGTGAGAACAGGTCACTTGATCAGAAAGAGAGAACATTAAACACACAGAGGCCCCATGTCTGAAGCGTTACCGTTAGTTCTGGAAAATGCACCGTTCAGGAAAATGCCTCCTCCGGAGTATTTATTGCATCACACAGAAGCTCAATAGCAGGATGCGTCCCTGCTAGTCCTCCATCTGATAAAATCCATCTGATCACAGTATGTTAAAGAGTTCTTTTTTTTTTTTTTTCCTGTTCAGGAAGCAGTATAACATAAATACATCATTTTTTTTGTGTGTGTGATGACTTGTGCATGGATCTGGTAGGGAGAATAATAAAGAGAGGTTATCTTCATGTTTCCCTGCTCCAACTCTCAGTCCTTATTTTCAGGACAAGAAATTCCGGGGTGGGGGTGGGGGGTGGAGGTATGGCTGGTGATTTGCCATACTTATTAGGAGGGGGCACAGGGATTCCTATATTAATTAGGAGTATAAGGGACCTATCACGCTGATTTTTATTTATACACATTACTGCTTAGGATAAAAACAAAGTCAAATTTAAAAACCCCACGAACAAGTAGAAGTATAGTTAACACAAGAATGTGGCTAACTATGGAAATACACTGAAGGTAAAGAACTGCAGAGTATCAGAGGAAAAACTCGTGTTCAAACAAGAGTGTGTTTGGACAGGCCAATGTCTATACATCTTCCACATGCTGGCAGTATCTCTGAAGATAAACGTGTAGCTTAAATTAAGATTAAGGATTTTTTCAAAGTCGCAGGGAACGAGATGACAGATCACCGGTGGGGTGGAGGGTACTATAAGCTCTTTGACGTTTACATATAGACAGTGTTTATCTATGAAGAACAGAGTTTAACTTCAGCCTCTTCTGAGTTTTGCCCCTGAAAAGACAAAACAGACGTGGCTTAGAGAGGCTTCTGTTGGTGTTACCAGGCAAAGCTGAGAAAGGGCAGGAGAGCATTGATTTTCCTCACTTGGTCCTATCATCAGGATAAAAAAGCATTTGTTAAAAAAAATACATGTCACAGAAAAAAAATATTGGTGAAGGAATCCCATTTATAATCTTTCAAAATTCACTTCCTTCACCGCCTAAACATATACTGCCTGCAGCAAGCGTCATTGCTGCTGGGAAGATAACATCATGATGCGTGAAGTAAGACAACTGGTGAGTGGAGCTGGCCGTGGCGTGACCCAAACAGAAGTGATGGGGCTCCGGGACCAGTGACATACAGGCCTTTGTTTGTGTTCTCCTTGTGGTTCAGGCCACGCTTCAGTTTTCTGTTAAAATCTCCAGCATCGCTCTTGGTTGTTTATCTGGTTAATGTCTCATCCCTCTAGATAATTGTGGGTCAGAGAAGAAATGGTTTTGTGTTTATTCTGAATGGCTCACTGTTATCATCATCCATCTGGACTGACGATTCCCGGAGTATGCGCCAATTCCTTTGGCTGTTAACAAGCACGATAAGGACAACAACAGCAGCCGCAGCAAAGGTTATGTGGCCGCTTAAGTTTGGGAAATATTGGGTCAAAGGTAAATGTTTTGCCTGGCCAGTGTGGCTCAGTGGTTGAGCATCGACCCATGAACCAGGAGGTCACGGTTCGGTTCTTGATCGGAGCATATGCCCAGGTTGTGGGTTTGATCCCCCGTGGAAGGCATGCAGGAGGTGGCCCATCAACGATTCTCATAATTTTTGTTTCTGTCTTCCTCTCCCTCCATCTCTGTGAAATCATTGACAACATATTTTTTTTTAAATAAAAAAAGGTAAATAGGTTTCTTAAGTTGCACACATCTTCTAAGAGCCTTTAATATGTGAATGTACATTTGTCAATGTTCAAAAGGCGGGTAGAGCCAAAACCGGTTTGGCTCAGTGGATAGAGCATTGGTCTGCGGTCTGAAAGGTCCCAGGTTCAATTCCGGTCAAGGGCATGTACCTTAGTTGAGGGCACATCCTAAGTAGGGGGTGTGTAAGAGGCAGCTCATCAATGTTTCTCTCTCATCGATGTTTCTAACTCTCTATCCCTCTCTTCCTCTCTATAAAAATCAATAACATATATTTAAAAAAAAAAAGGCGGGTAAAATACTCAGCAGTTTCCTAATATTCTTGAGAACTTAGCCCTTGTTAAATAGGGAAAATAGTTTGCAGAAATAATGCTCTCTTGACACCACATTGGGAAACTCTGGTCTGACATAGAGATAAATATGCACCTCTCAATTCCCTTAACCCCCCCCCCCCCCCCACACACACACACACATGTTGCTACCTCCGTACAAACTTTCAAGCTCAAGCATCTGCAAGCAATTGCAATCGCACGCTTGCAAGCCCAAGTGGAGAACTGAACTCTGAGAATTGCATCGCACACTTCCAAGCCCAACTGGCCTCCATGGGAAATCCCTCCATCCCAGGTGGCTGCTGAAGCCACTTGGACGGCACAGTGATAAGGCTGCTTGCTGGCACATGCAAAGCAGTCGGTGCAGAGCTAGGCAAATTGGGGGGAAGGTGCATTTACAAAGGTTCCATGGCAAGGCACCGAAAGTTCCCTTCCAGTTTTGTACAGAACGTCCCTTCCTGGCTCCTCTTTATGAAATTCTGTGAAGAAGAGGCAGATGGGCAGACAGTCCCTTTTCTGAGCCTCTGACTCTGGTTGAAATTGCGGAGGATTTGGTAAAAGCCGGCAGAAGACATAGTGGCTCTGGCCAGCATCACCTGGTCGGTGTAGCTCATCTGCCAAGTTGTTATCATCTTATTGAAAAAAGTGATGCACTCTATTTTTAGAGCCATTTCAGATTGATAGCAAAGGTGAGTGGAAAGTACAGAGCATTCCCACTCACTCCTTTCACCCCTGCCTTTCCCTCCATCCATATCCCACATCAGTCGGTGCAGTTGTTAGAGCTGGGCGTGCACCTGCAGTGCCTCATCCTCACCGCCCACAGTCCCTAGTTCACCTTCGGCCTCCCTCTCCGTGCTGTCCGTCCTATGGGTTTTGACAAATGTATGATGACACGTGTCGACCATTATAATATCACACAGAATGGCTTCCCTGCCCTACAAATCCCCGTGTTATATTTTCCAATGTCTAGGAGATCAGTTCAGTACAATATTTCAGATTATGGCTATCCATTGGATAGGGGAAATTTTAATCTTTGCTGAGTTGATTTTATGGTTTGGTTCTGATCACTCCAAGTGCCTGAATCCTAGTAGGGAGAGCTTTGCTGAATGACATTTTCTTTTTTAAAGAAATATATTTTATTGATTTTTTTTTTTTTACAGAGAGGAGGGGAGAGGAATAGAGAGTTAGAAACATCAATGAGAGAGAAACATCGACCAGCTGCCTCCTGCACACCCCCTCCTGGGGATGTGCCCGCAACCAAGGTATATGCCCCTTGACAGGAATTAAACGTGGGACCCTTCAGTCCGAAGGCCACTGCTCTATCCACTGAGCCAAACCAGTAAGTATTTAACATTTTCATGCTTAATATTGATGCTGAGCTTTCATAATGTTGCTGAGGTTTTGCTGCAGACATTAGGAGTTTTGAAGAAAAGGTCAATAATAAGCACAACATTTTATCTTTAAAAAAATCATCGCCTTGCATTTTTTATTATTTACTTTATAAAGTAAAGTTGTGCACCTGAAATGTAGGTTACATTTCCGGTGCACAATTTTGTGATCTGGTGGGTTAATACTCTGCATGCTTGCCAACTAAAGTCTGGTCTCCTGTCACTATGTATTAGATCCCCATTACCCTCTCTGTCATCTTTTTAAATAAAATGATAACACCCACTCCCTGGCCTCTTTGATGAACACCATTCTGTTGTCTATACCTATGAGTTTGTCTTGTGTTTGTATATTTCATCTGTTCAAATTGTTCCCGTACTTTCTGTTTTATATCCCACACATGAGTGAAATCATATGGTTCTTATCCTTTTCCATCCGACTTATTTCACTTAGCATGATACTCTCAAGATCCACTTACGGTGTTGCAAATGACAACATTTCATCTTTTTATGGCTGAGTAGTATTCCGTTGTATTTCTGTCCCACATCTTTATCCGTTTATCTGTTTATCTGTCAGAGGACACTTAGGTTGCCTCTGTGTCTTGGCTGTGGTAAATAATGCTGCAGTGAATGCAGGGATGCACATGTCTCTATGAATAAGCGTTTTCAAATTATTGGGGTAGGTTCCCAGAAGAGGGATTGCTGAGTCATTGGTGACTCTAATTTCGATTTTTTGATGAACCATCACACTGCCAGCAGTGTGGGAGGGCTGCCTTTCCCCCACATCCTTTCCAAAGCTTCTTATTTCTTATCTTAGGGATAACAGCCTTTCTAACAGGTGTGAGGGGGTATCTCATCTAAGTTTCGGTTTCCATTTCCCTTATAGTGAGTGAAGTTGAGCATCATTTCATATCTCTTTTTGCCATCTGTGGTGTTTTAATTTTTTTTAATTATCTCTTTAAGTCTTCAACCCAGGAGATTATATCTTATTAGTATTGTATTTTTTTAAAATCCTCACTTGAGGACATGCTTATAGACTTTAGAGAGAGAGGGGAAAGGAGAGAGAGAGAGAGAGAGAGAGAGAGAGAGAGAGAGAGAGAGAGAGAGACAGAGACGGAGAGAGAGGGAGAGGGAGAGAGAGAGACATTGGTGTAAGAGATAAACATCCATCGGTTGCCTTTCCGTATGCACCCCCAGTGGGGAATGAACCCGCAACCCAGGTATGTGCGCTGACTGGGAATTAAACCTGCAACATCTGGGTG